ATACAAGAGTTATAAAATAGGAAAGACATAAAATAGGAAATACATGAACTATGAATGTCTAGAACGGAAAGGAAATAAAATCTAATAATTCTAATAGTAAGAATATGAGAATAGGAAACATAAATAAAAGGAAACACAATTATTTAAATATATTCTGAAAGAATTAAGTAAATTCCTTCCTAATCAAGCATGCAGATTGTTTCTAATATGTTAAACGAAATTTTAAAAAGATACAGCTGTTTTAAATTGCAAATATAATGCATTTTTTATTATAATACCATATTTTAGAAAGATTTTCTTTCTCAAATATCACCTTGGTTTTTTATTTTTATTTTTAATTTCACTTCTTGAATTGAATAATTTTCTATTTGCAAAAGATACAGCTGTTTTAAATTGCAAATATAATGCATTTTTTATTATAATACCATATTTTAGAAAGATTTTCTTTCTCAAATATCACCTTGGTTTTATTTATTTATTTTTAATTTCACTTCTTATATTGAATAATTTTCTATTTGCACTGTAACATACTGTGTTTTATAATATTCAATGCATGAAATTAACATCATAGATTAAAAGTTTTTGACATTTTGGTTTTTGCTTTATATATTGTGAATCTTCTTACGCATTTACATATATAAATCTAATTTTATATTAATTTAAAGTTGAATTTATATATTGCATATATTGCATATACATGCCATATTTTGATTAATTTTTTAAATGAAACTTTATAGCGTCACTTATTTATGTACTCGTAATTTCTTCCCAAACAAGATTTTAGGCCTTTGATTTGATTTTCAGTGAAATAAAGGCATTATTTTAATTCATTTTATTCTTGTCACTTGTTTTTGTTATCTAAGCTTGTAAGTACAAGAGAATTGGAAGTAATTGTTTACATTGCAATGACCTTATGCTTTAGCAAGTTTATAAATTTATATTTAAGGTTTTGTTTGTGGTGCTTTTATAATCAAATCCTTGATGCCTCAAGGCCAACCATTTTCTTCTTATTTTCGTTCAACAATTGCTAGCCTTACCAGTAATTTTTAAATTCCTTGATTACATATTAATCCCTCCCATTATTTTTTTTTCTTCTGATTTATTTCAAAGCATGTTAGGATTTGCCTCATTGATAGTTCAAGGATATCTAGAATTATGAGATGTGCGGATAATTCATGGAGCCATTAGGATCTAAAGAATTTGGATTTGTTGATGAATTTGAACTTTTTCTAATGTAATCGAGAGTGAGAAAAGGTTTGATGACCTGCCAATGGGAATCGCACCCTTCAATGTTTTGGGTGATCTAGGGATGTGTGCCAAAGAGAGGATAGGCGACTTTGGTGGACCATATTGGCCAAGTATTAGAGAGGGAGTGATTGGAATCTGAAAATGTATAGTCATTGGAAGCATATAAAGTAAACATTAAAATTAGCATTTTTAAAATTTTTGTGGTTATGACTATTGTTGCTTTTTTCCTATTTTTTTTCTTCTGTATAAATTGCCTTTGATGATGATCCTCTTAAGAAAAGTAGTACTTTCCAGTGTTTTCATTACTTCTTTAACTGTTTTATTGTTGAAATTTGTTTGAATTCAGCTCTTAGTTTCTTTGTTCAATTATCTCTTCATTGTTTTAGCATAATGCTAGTTTCTTATTTTGTCCATTCATATATTTGGAAACTCACTAGTTTTTATTAATTCATAGTGTTTGGTTTCTTCCCCCGTTGAAGTGTGCATATTTTTTTTAGTCTCCCAAGAAGTGAATCCCTGCTGTGGCACTATCTTTGTGTATGGTGCTGGGTGTTTCCTTTGTGTTGTACTTCTTAAGTTCATGCTTTCTTAGTTGCTACCTTTCTAGATAGGGCATATAGTTATGTCAGTTCCTTGTGAAATCTATTAGATTTAATGGTAAAACATTATGATAATAAAAATAACAAAAATAAAGCTTAAGCTCAATATGCATTTATCGACTATGATGATGTTGATTTTCTTAAGACTGGTTTAATCTCTTCTATATATATATATATGATATTTTATCATTCACCTTAAAACTTAATTTAGCCCCACCCCTTGGAGGTAATGCGTCATGTGTCATTACTCATACATGGTGCAATTAGCATGGGTTTATTTGGTGCGCCAAGCTATACCATGCAGACGGTGCCGAGGACGAGCCAAACATTATGAAATTCACCATTTTGCGTCATTGATATGTACGAGTAATATTGTGCAGCAACTATGATGAAAACATTCACCGGAGTTGCTATATTAGGATTTACTCTTGCTAAAGAGTAACACAATGCGATGGGATTGACTTGCTCTGCTCAAAGAGAAAGTGGCCTAGTTCTTGTACATAGGTTAATTAATGAGCATTATTCGATTATCAATTAATGTGAAAAATTAGATAGATTTGCGTACGTTGAAATTATTATTCAAAATGATTTAATTTTTTTGGGTATGAAATTACTCAGGAGTGCAATATGTATGGTTTCAATTGTGGTGACAAACTAACAAAAGTGTTTAGTTAGTAATGGTGATGATAAATTTTGGAAATAGAGTGAGAAAGGATTATACTAGAGATTTGGGGGTAGTATCTTTAATGAATCTTGTATTTAAAAAGTAACTGTGATTTGATCATTATAACTGGAACGAAATATGTAACAATATGATGCAGTAGAACTAATATGAAATTTGTGACGGAAAAGTACTTAATATGCACTCTAAATGCAATTTTTCACATGCACGATGTTGCATTCATAATGATTTTCCTAAAAGATTTTGCACAAGATAATGTTTACTCATACAACGCTCAATATGATCGAATAGAAAATGAGAGTTCAACAAGTTGGCCTAAGCAGTAGGGAAAATGCCAACAATGATGATGATGATGATGTTATGCTACATTTTTGTTTTTGGTGGCATAATAGGTTGTTAGAATACCTGATATAATGAAGTACGCTTCCGATGAAACCACTTAAAAAGGATATCCTTCCGACATCATTCATCTGTCAATAAACTTCAAGCCATAACCTATTCAGGATCATAAAATTCAAGCAAAAGAACAATAACATAGTTCAAGTTTAAACAATGGATAATAAGAATTTATGTTCCTAACATTATTCAATAAGTTCATTCTTTAATTGTGGTGACAAACTAACAAAAGTGTTTAGTTAGTAATGGTGATGATAAATTTTGGAAATAGTGAGAAAGGATTATACTAGAGATTTGGGGGTAGTATCGTTAATGAATCTTGTATTTAAAAAGTAACTGTGATTTGATCATTATAACTGGAACGAAATATGTAACAATATGATGCAGTAGAACTAATATGAAATTTGTGACGGAAAAGTACTTAATATGCACTCTAAATGCAATTTTTCACATGCACGATGTTGCATTCATAATGATTTTCCTAAAAGATTTTGCACAAGATAATGTTTACTCATACAACGCTCAATATGATCGAATAGAAAAGGAGAATTCAACAAGTTGGCCTAAGCAGTAGGGAAAATGCCAACAATGATGATGATGATGATGTTATGCTACATTTTTGTTTTTGGTGGCATAATAGGTTGTTAGAATACCTGATATAATGAAGTACGCTTCCGATGAAACCACTTAAAAAGGATATCCTTCCGACATCATTCATCTGTCAATAAACTTCAAGCCATAACCTATTCAGGATCATAAAATTCAAGCAAAAGAACAATAACATAATTCAAGTTTAAACAATGGATAACAAGAATTTATGTTCCTAACATTATTCAATAAGTTCATTCTTTTTCATGGCAATCAAACTTTCTTGAAATTTGGCAGCTGAGACTATTGTCATCATCTGTATTATTCTAATGAAATTTTTATCCTATAAACTTGATATGTTAAGATTTGAAAACTAACTGAAATCTTTTATATGTTTATTTTTTTCCTTTTTTTCTACATTTAGTCAATGCAATTGTAGCATTGTCTAAATGTGAAAAAACATAGAGAAAAAAAAATCATAAATTAGAACCTATTACCTTGTATAGGATTTGATTAAATGCGTTAATCAAACTGAAAATTTATACAGCGGACCCAGTTTATTGGAATAAAGCATATTGGTATTGATGATGAAGTATTTTTCATGATGAAAGCAAAGGAACAGTTTCCTCAAAAACATTGGAAATAATGAAGCATTGCCATTTTAATGTATTGGGAGCATTTTCTGTATGTTGACATTTTTGTTTCATTGGTGAAACTTTTGCTCTCACTATTGTTCTTTATCAGTACAAATTGGATTGTGCTGTTAACGTCATAAGAACAACAGCATCGAAATTTCCAAGGAATTTCATAATCTTTTCTAAGCTATTGAACACAGCACTGCGTATTTGGTACCCTTACACCTTTCTCTTTTACCTTTTGACTTCAATCCTGTAGATCCTACGTGAAAGCTTTATTTACATTTTTCTTTTGTTAATTGGACCAGTCAAAATGAACTTCTGCTAGTCTTTTTGTGCTTTACAGTGTTTTTCATGGCTTCTATTTGTATCTGTGGTTGTGTGCCTAGGAAGGCATGAAATTAAAAGATTTTCAAGGCGGGGACACCCTTGACTTGCGTTAGGACCGCTAGAGTGAAATATGGGGATTCTAGGGTCCTAAGCACGGCTTGCGTGCTTATAGTTCAGTTCTGGTTAAACCCAAGTCAAGGATCTGTTAAGTAGGCCCATAATAGCATGCATGATTCATGGTACCTACATGTTTTAATATTGGCTTAAATTATCATTGTTTGAGTTTTGATTATGATTGGGTCAGAACAGAGGTCAAAAACCGTGAAATGTTTTGCATGATGTTTGATATAAGTGAATAAATACTATGAATATGTGCAATAGTTGGCTTTCATGGCTTTTGTTTGGGTTGCGTTTTGTAGACAGGGAAGCATGTACAGTTCTTTATTTTTATTTTTTATTTTTTACCTTTCTTTGGTTCAACTAAATGATTAATAGCTTTAAATTAAAATTACACGTTTCTAGGCAATTCATGCTGAAATTCCAAATGAGTATTCTCAGCAGCCAAAATCTTCACTTCAAGCAGGATCCTGTCATCATCTACTAAACCGAAGTATTCATTTATCAGCTTTGTGCTGCAGCCAATATTCATAGGTGCTGATTATTCTACTTCTCTTGAAGCTCACAACAAAAATCCTCTTGATTTCCTGCAGAAAAGAAAAGGGAAAAAAAAGGAAAAAAAACACAATCTTATGGGGAATCCCCTACAAAGGTTTGTTTAATTCCTCGGTTTACTTACTGTATGGATAGATGCGAGATGGTTTGTCTTTTAATTCAGCAACATTCTTTTCCTCTTCTTCACAATTAATTATTTTTTTATCAGAAAGTGAATATGGTTGTTTGAGGGTTGTAGATTGTGTTTATTTGCCAGATTTTTTTGGGCATTCTCTACTCCATAGATTATGATTATGCACTCAAACGCCCTGGGGGCAACGTGTTGTTAATTCATCAATTACTGAACCTAGGCTAATTGCTAGATAATTAACTTTAGTAAAGCAGAGCGGACTGACCACCGAAGCTAACCTGAAAATCAGGGTTGATTCCATCATTCATATTGGGATATATGCAATATGGTAAAGCTTATTTTAGGAACACACTTTAGCCAACTTCAAGTCTTGCGCTTTGCTTTGTTTGTCTTTCATTTGCTCAGCCCGCTGTGCTGGGTTAGAAAAATATGTCATTTTCTTTGGTCTCCAAAGTTTGAGCAAAGGTTTCCACAATTTATAAGATAAGATTTCAACCTTTAATGAGTTTTATTCAGGATCCTAGATCCTGAAGTTTGGGTCCAGATCCCTTTCTAGTGAAATTTGCCCATATGTGAGATGGGTTTTAAGCCAAAATATGCACATTATGATCTGCCATGCGGGAAATAATTAGCTTTCAAGCAACTGGATCATTTGTTCGATAACTATTTAGTCTGTGATTTGATTTAATTGGTTTTATGCTAATTTTACTTGATGTTTGTTACCGTTTATCCATCAGGTTTCTTTGATGTTCATGTTCTCATTCTAACTATCTATTTGATTTTGGATGGCTACGATTTAATCCATGAAATGCTAAAATGATTTCTTCTATCTTTCCTTTATAAAGTTAAATGCGACGATAATCAGTGCTGACAATAAACTATCTTTAAGCTATGATTTTAAATTCAGTGTAGATTTCATTTCGTATGGTTTATATGATGTTCATATATATTGATATGAAAAATGCTGTGTTTAATCTATAGTTCGAAATAAATATATAATCATTTTATAAATATGTTGCATGTCCATGTTGTATGTCCTTCGACGATCTGAAAATTTCTCAGGCAACTGAACATGACTCAAATTTCATATGCGAGTATGTAGCATAGTTTACTCCATGTCTCGAACTTAATAATTATGATGCTTTAAGCAGTGCATATGGGGACCTCCATCGGTTTTGCATTTTAGGTCTACGTCTTATCTTGAATTCAAGACAAACTCGAAATACGTGGGATGCGGTTAGGATAAAATTTTGATCTTTTTTTAAGGTTTTACTTTTGGGGCATTTACATGCAAACCACCCAATTCTTATGTTTTTACATGTATTGCTTTGAAATTTTTATTTTTACGTTTAAATCATACAAATGTTTGTATCAAATATTAAATATTATTTTAAGTTTCAAAACGTGAAATTTATTTTTTCGTGCACAAGTGGAATGTGCGTTATATGAAACTTAAGGTTCAGGTGCTAGGTACATATGCATAAAAAATAACAGTTAGGCTAATCTTCTTTTATGTATATATATTCTTAATTTTGTGCCTTGTTGGTTGTTAGAGTGGCTTATCTGAAGTTCGTAATTCCCCTTAGATTACAGGTTTGAATTCGAACGTGTAGGGTGTGTACTCGAATATTTAGCACACTTGAGGATGATCGTGACTCATCTAATAGTCTCCAGTTATTCCTTTTATAATATATATATATATATATATATATATATATATATATATATATTTTTTTATATTTATAATATTTTTTTTTTTTTTTTTATATTGTTAGAAATAATTCAATTTGCTTCTAAAAATAAAAATAGTAATTATAAAAATTATTCTTTTTCATTAATTTACTATCTTTTGGTCATGAAAAAATAGAAATATAAATTATTTCAATTAGGCCATTGATGTATTATTTTGCCTTGGCTAGATTTTGCAGCAAAAGTTTTGTATCATACTGTAAATCTAATATCATAAAACGTGCGTAGATTTTGGAGTGCAATGTGTAATTAAATTATGTGTTTTGTTGGCTGGAAGTGACCAAACCGAGCCTTGGCGCCAACTGCTACAGCTCATCGCGAGGCCTATATTAATCCAGACAGCTTCACATGGAGGAATAATACCACATGATAAAGAAATAAAATAGAGAGGAGAAAATAGGGATGTAGGGATTATGTGAGTTTAAATTTAAAATCTCCTTAAATTTTTTTAAATACAAGTAGAATTGTATTATTATTTAGTATTTAACTTTAAGAGGTTATAACTTTTATTGTATTTGTACGCATAAAAAATGTGATCTCAAGATAAAAAGGATGGCTCAATAATATAACGCAATCGGTCGGCTAATCAACGATTGATACATTAATTATAGCAAATGATGTGTTTAGAGAATTTCCCACTAGATAATGATTAACATTCAAGTTAATTGATAGATTGATAGATAATTAAGTTTTTGAGTTAAATACTGATAGACTGGTAAATCCATCGCTGACTAGAATCAGTCCGCCAATTTCAATATATTCAAACGTATTTGTAATTACTAAAAAAAAATTCTTTGAAAGCTCGTGATAAAGGAACTAACCTGTAATTTTGTAAGATTGAGACCTGTTCCCATAAATATGAGGCTTATATCATCAATAAAAGTTATGCATTCCTGTGATTCTTAACTACGCACTTTTTTTATTCTCTGCTCAAAATTCTATGCATTGGGTGTATTTCTCATGCACTTTTGTTTTTAACTTTCTTTAAGCTGCGATGAGCGTGGAAACATGCCTTTAACAAAAAGATGAGCCCAGCAACAACAACAACGAGGTTCCAGTCAAAGGAACACAGTAGAAGCAACATGCACTAGGGAGTTCATGGAAAAATTAGTTCAACAATGTCCACAAGATTTGATCACTCAAATCACTAGCCATATGTAACATCGCAGAAGTACTTATGCAGTAGCTGCCTTAGTGGCGTCTCCAGTTTCAGAAGTGGAGCCGGCACGATAAGGTGCGGTCAACCCTCCTCATGGGGAACCACCAGCAAATAATAGAAGAAGAATAGTCTACCCGTAGGAGAAGCTCGAGGATGCATTGTATCAAGATAGCACTGGATCCGCCGTTGGGGAGGAAAGAAATCAGCCAGTGCGAATCAAGACGCCATGACAACCACATAATTCCTTCTCACTACAAGTTTTTAGAGCATAACGCCTAGTGAAAGTTAAAATGCCCTCCTTAGAGCCCTACAAAGGGCGGACAGATCCCAACGACCACCTTGTATCATTTGAATCTTCCATATGTCTGCTAAAAGTCTTTGACGCTCTCAACTGTAAGTTGTTCTTCATCACGTTGAGGGATCGTTTGCATTAAGATGGTTCGACAAGCTACCAGTAGAAGTCATCACGTGTTTTGCAGAATTCAAAAGACTTTTTCTATCTCAATTTGTCAGCGCTTTGAGACCGATAAGATGTCATTGCAAAACCGTTGAAGAAGGCCAGGTAGACAAACTCTACAACCGGTCATACGGCCACGCTACGAAGGTCACACAGTAACAACTCCATCCATCGTCACGAGGATCAAAGGAGACAAGTGAAGGCGCCACACCACTGATTGTCTCAGTATCATGAATCTTAAGGCAACCTCGGGTCCCTCGAGAAACCCCACTAAGGGTGCCCATGGTAACTATAGTGGACACCATTCAAGATAAGGATATATTTGAAAAGGCAACCACGATGAGAGCCAACACCTTTCTTTGAGATAGTAGAAAGTATTACAAATATCACAGAGATCAATGACACAACATAGAGGAATGAAGACACATGCGGAGTTTGATCAAAGTTTTGATAATGGAGAGGAAACTAAAGGAATTCGTCGCTCATGGAGCCGTGACCCAGAGGCAAGGAAAAGCTCCCACAAATGAATGATTGATGGACCCGTCCGCACCAACGCCATCCACATCACGAGATGTGTGCCCATACTTTGGAGGAAATGAACCGCCCAAGAGGGTAAATCAAAAGAAAGAGCTGAATGAACCCATGCATCCGCTATCTAAGCAAGGGGGGAGACTGGCAAAGAAGTCTCTAATCACAGAATATTCAAATGTAGAGCCTCCCAATACTTACTAGAAGAAAGAAAACTCTTCAAGAAATCAACTACGTCATTGTACCTAAAGTGCATTGGGGAAGACAAAGTTGAAGTTGTATTCCGAGAAGTTCATGACGGAGAATGTTGAAGCCATTCTGGAGGAAAGTCACTAACACACTGAATCCAGCGACAAGGTTAATTTTGGCCGAACTTACTTAAATATGTCGAAGAATATTCTTGAAGATTCACACAATGTCAAAAACAACGATCGTTGTGCCACCAGCCGACCCAAAAACTCTACTTAATCAACAACCCTTGGTTGTTCGCCATGTTGGATCTTGACATCCATGAACCTTTTCCACCCGTCGAGAGGACAATTGAAGTTCTTATTGGTTATGGTCAATTATTTCTCCAAGTGGGTAGAAGCAAAACTCCTGACACACATAACAACAGAGTTAGTTCAAATCTTCATCTAGGCTGACATGATTTGCCAATATGGATTACCCGTTGTCATCGTTACGGATAATGGGACACAATTCGGCGATAAAGTGGTTTGGGATTTATGCAAGAGTAAGGGGATCAACCTCAACTTTACCTCCGTCCCTCGGACAAGCAGAGGCTGCAAACAAAGACTTTCTAACTTTACTCAGAAAAAGACAAAAGGAGCAAAGGGCAAATCAGCAGACATAATCCCTTCCAGACTCTTAGCGATTCAATGTTAGTAATTGTCTAACCAATAGCTTCAGTGTAGTAATTCTCTTGAGATGCCGGTACTTCGACGAAGAATAAGAGCTCCCATACTAAAATTCAAATCAGATGCTCCTAATCAAACCTTTACCCGAACTTGTTTATACCTAAAATTATATATTCTTAACT